ACGCTCCGGCACTATATCTTTTAGCAGCTCTTAAAGACAGAAGGGGACATTTCTTCCAGATGTAGTAAAAATAATAAATAAAGCACACCTCGCCTCTCCAGTCCTGCTTCGTACTGTTCTCATCTCCACTTAAAGAAGCTCTGATTTTTAAGTTCACTGTGTGCAGTAGGTAGGGAGTGAATAATGGAAAGCGTGAGTGTAAGGATCGTCGGTGAGAAGCTCCTAATGAGACGATTCTGATGGAAGCTGTCTCAAACTAAAGGCTCTGTTCAAAGACCCAGTGGGCTTGACAGGAAGGAATACAACTCACTCTCAGCTCCAAAGTCACACCGTGTACCAGCTTCAGCTGATCGACACGTCTTTGTCCACGGGTAAATAAAAACACCAGTCTCTGCTGTGAAGGACGGCCGATCAGTGAGAGGCAGCGTGTTCAGCAACATGTCAAACCTGGCAATTAGACAAAAAAAAAATCCAGCAACCTACAAATCAAATGATGCGGATAAACCGCAACAGAAGAAATAAATCTGCGTCGACTTTGGCTCTTTAACTACATTTTACGGCCTGTCGTCGTCAGAACACAAAGATGCCTCTGTCCTGTATTTGCATAGAAGTCCCCGGCTCCTGTCTGTGGATTTACAGCAGCAGATCACAGACAATAACAGTAAAGACGGAAGTGTGCTGCTTTATGACTTCAGCACTTTCAGATTGAAGTCTTCCAGCACCAGTGAGTTTAAATTATGGTGGGAGACGTCCTTGGGATGTGTAGATCTCATTTCACCAGGATTTTACGCAACCACACACACACACACACACACACATACACACAAATACACTGCACACATGCACATACACGTTGCTTTCATCCACATATCTACAGACGTACACACACAAAACCCTGATGCGCACAAACACACGTGCACCTAATTTCATTGGGGGGTCTCTGGGAGGCTGAACTCAGTGGAGCATGACATAAGAATTAGACAACTGGCAGCAGTAAACCTGAAAACTCTCTCTCTCTCTCACTCTCTCTTTCACTCTCTCTACATCTCTCTCTCTCTCAAACACACACACACACACACACACAGTACATAGTGACTGTTGAGGGACACAACACTACGTTAAAAATTATTTACGACTCTTGAGGATTTTTGTCACGTATACTCCTAAATCTGAGCAAAGTAACGGTGGGAGGGGTCGTGGGTTTACTGTGGGGTTACAGCCGTGTTACAGCCGTGTTACAGCAGAGTTACAGCAGAGTTACAGCCGCGTTACAGCCGAGTTACAGCCAAGTTACAGCCAAGTTACAGCCGTGTTACAGCCGTGTTACAGCCGAGTTACAGCCGAGTTACAGCCGTGTTAAACAGTTGCAGTTTATTTTGAAAGTATAACATATATTTTTTCTATTTTTGTTTTTGATTTGATTGAAAAAAATATAAACCTTTTCTGTGTGTGGATTTGATATAATACTAAAATTCAACCATTACATTAGGTGTGATGATGAGCAACGACATCCACTCTATAGACAATGGTACAGTGAAGCAGAGTGAGGGTCACGAGGGGTTAAAAGGTGAAGGTTGGGTGTTTTGAGGTCTGTACATTAACCACACAGACCCAGTGTACTGTACACAGTGACAACATTGAAGGGACCTTGAACAATAAACAGCCCTGTTCATGAAAACCTCCCAGTGAAACGCTGCCCCCCAAGGACGAACAGATGTAAGGCCATGTGAATAAAGACTTGTCAAATGAAAACCATACATTTACTCATGTGAACAGTTTGTGTTTTAGTCATTCATCACCACAAATATGAAGTTCAACAATATTCTGCAAAGTCTCACAACCAATCAGTCTTTATCTTGCCAAGTTAAGTCAGTACTTCTCAAATAGTGGGGGGGCTGTGCGGTGCCAGGAGGGGCGTGAGCGACTTCCAATGGAATATGGCACGTTGGACATAGGTGTCCCACTGCTGTAATGCTTAAATGATGACAAGCCTCCAGTCACTAGGTGGCAGCAACTCAAACAGTGGTTTCTACAGATAAAAAATATACATGTTATCGGGTTCTCAAAAGTAATTCAATTGGCGGGGGTGTGGCTCAGACGGAAGGGGGGTATGTGAAAAAATTTCTGTCCTCACGGGGGGGGGGGGCATGATAGAAGTTAAATTGAGAACCACTGCTCCAAGCTATTCTGTAATACTGCCACCTACTGGCTTTATTTTTAGAGAGACCAAACCTAGAAGCAGTATTCCTGCTAGCAAAGTGAGCTACATTCAATTTTGAACATTGAAATTGAGTGAATGAACTAAATGTTTTTATGGTTTACTTTATTAACAAATTTCTACATACTACACCCTAAAGTAGGACTGTATTTTAGGGGGGGAGGATGGAACTGTTCTAGAGGTTCTAGAGACTTAGTCACCATGACCATCGTCATCCTCATCATTTTCATCACCATCCTCAGCATATTAATCATTATCATCTCTACCACCACCATCATCATCATCATCATCATCTGCATCATCATCATCACCATCACGAGCATCGCCCCAATTCGCACCTGAGAAAACACGCCTGCTCGGAGTTTTTCCTGCAGCGTCATTGGCTGTCAGTGTAGTATTGCACACGCTGCGCTGTGATTGGCTCAGATCTCAGAGGAAGAGAGATTTCATAAAGCAAGTCTTTTAGAAGTTGAGTAAAGGGAATAAGTGGAGGAAAAAACCCCGAGAATACCTGCGACATTCACGGCACAAATCACGGACGGACTCTCTCCCTCTCTCTCTCTCTCCCTCTCCGGACTGAGCAGTCTACCCGAGGATTTGTCGTTCTTTTTCTTAAAAAACAAATCATCTGTGCATCTGTGAGTACCCGAGTTTGTCTGACTCTCCAGCCGCTGCCGCTGCAGCTGGTGATGATGATACTGATGATGATGCTGATGCTGCTGCTGCTGCTGCAGCTGTGGCTCCGCTGGGATCAGAAACCGAAAGTTGATCCGCGGCGTGATTTGAGCGCAACTTTCTCTTAGCATAAATAAGAAAACTAAGTCGTTTTTTCGTCTAAGGCGATGCTGCGTTGATGTAAAATACAATAGTCTGGAATTTGAAGTGTGTGAAACGACAGGGCTCTGATGCGCAGCTGCTCAGATGCATGTCATTAATACTGCGCTGAATGTGCGTGTTGTTCTTTTTGACTTTTAATTTACAATAATTAATAAATGGTGAATTAATGATGATCGCAGAAATAAATATAAAACAGACGGAGAGAGAGATGGATAGATGGATAGATTATTGATTATTGATTATTTGATTTATTGCTTCGCCAATGACCTTTACCATTTATAACTTTTTAATAAACATTTAGAATCTCTGAAATTGACTGGTTGTCATCACAGGGTTGCTTTTAAAAAAATCAAATTAAGGTGAAATCTGCTTCGTAAATGCTTTGTTGTGATGAAGTGACTTATTGTGTCAGAAAGCTGTTGCTGTTTGTTGGTGGATCACTCCAATCCACTGGGTTGAACTGTGTTTAACTGTATTGTGTGTGTACTGAGTGATACAGTGTTGGCTGCAGTGTGTTTTCTTCACCAAGACTGAAGTGTGTGTGTGTATGTGTGTGTACTTGTATAAATGAGTACTTTAGGATTGTGGATACAATGAGTAAAAATGTGTTGAAGTCGGTGTGGGGCGTTTGATAAAAGTTTGTAACAAGTTTTTTCTTGCCTTTTTAAGTAAATAATATTAACAGGAAATTACTGGCAACGACAGGTGCACAAAGCCATACGTGTGTGTGTGTGCGTGCGTGTGTGTTTGACAGTGAAGATGTTGCTGGCTCTTTGTCGCAGTGTTATCAGGATCAGAGCTGAGCTTGAACGCTCCAGAAAGCACATGCTGATGTTGCACGCTTTGATAATGGCCTCTTAATGCCACCATAAATAACCAAATCGAAAACATTTCTCTGCTCCAGACAACATTTTTTTTCCTGCAGCTATTTCGTGGTGTTTGACTGGTTTACTACAAATTACTTTAGGTGACGCTTCCTGTTCCTGGCGCCCAGTGGACGTCTGTTGACCCTGCAGATGTTCCTCCTGAGGAACCTCAACCAGTGCAGCACACAGTAATGTGTGTTTAATGAAGTCTCGCTGCTAGGAAAATTGTCACATTAGAACTTAACTTGACGACTCATGTGGAGTGTCAGTTTTTTTTTTTTTTTTTTTTTGCTGCAGTGATTGCGGGACAAAGCCACTGCATGTCCTTGACTGGATAATGTGGTGGCACACCGTTTTTATCAGGCTCGTCCCCCGTGGCTTCAACCAGTCGTTTGTCCTTTTTGTTACGTCTTTATTTCGTGTGGTCATAGCTTTGACCACAGTTATTGGAGATACTTTACTCTCAGACTGAAGTCTGGTGTGAGAAGCTCCAGTGCAGTTTCACCCAAAACCCATTTCAGAACCAATTTTCTTTTTATATCCAGGTTTCCTTTTGTACCTCAATTTAATTTATAGCTCCGTGCTTCTATCTGGAGTGGTTTATATGAGAAAAGTTTGTAACCCGGCCTTGTGTAGTCTGGACATGTTCTGCACATTTGTCATAACATCCAGTTCTAATAGGGAGAAACGGCCCCATCCACGGCTCCCACTGTTGTTAATTAACCCTTCCTGCTTACAGCTACATTCTACATCGCTACCAGCGCTCTGGCCGGCATTATCTCTGTGCTGCCTGCCAGAAAAGCCAGCATTAGCTGTGGCCATATTTCAGCAGGTGTCAGAGGAAGGGCTCTCTTTCTCCATACCTTTGTGCTTTTGAGAGTATCAGTCATACAGCCGTGCAGTTTTTTTTTATCTTAAATTAAACAGTTGAGGGAGATTCTAAAGAGTCATACATCACCTGGACACTCAGAACAGAAAGTGAACATTTTCTGCAGTGGCCCAGTAGCAGAGTTGGGGGGAAAGAACCAATGGCATCGCAGATGGAGTGAGAGCTATGACGAAGGCTGGCTTCATAAATCCGCAGCCAGTGCAAATCAAGTTGTCAGCTTGTAAACACCCTATGGTTTGTGTGTGTGTGTGTGTGTGTGTGTGTGTGTGTTATGAGGTAAAAGTTTTACGGAGCTGTTAATGATGAGTATTTTACTTTAGTCTGTAGAAGGTGACCTTCCCCGTCCCACCTCCCCCTCTGTCGTCTCTGCACTTTGAGCGTCAGAACTTCTTCTCCACCTCCACTGCCTGCATGTAACTGCATCAGTCCATTTAAAGAAATCTCCAAACATGGCACAGGAGTTTGAAGCTGGCCACCCTTCATGAACTAAGACAAACTTCAGCTCTGTTGTACCGGTCACACTGGTCTCTTCTCCGTGCTCTGTTTGCCTCTGGCTGATGCCCGGCTGCACATATGGATTTTTTTCGTCCTCTAATTTCTCCATGTGTCTGTATGTGATCAGTGGCTCAGATATAATCCCGCAGAACGCTGCTGATTGCGGTGGTTTATCTTCACTTTTATGTCTTAGTGTAGCAGAGATTTCTGCCCAACCTCCACTGTATTTTACTGCCTTATGGATCGGTGGAATTAGCTCTGTGTTGTAGTTCACAAGTGTACGACTCGGGCCTCATGTGAAATTTATTGGGATTCTCGGGGCAAACGTATACTGTGGTCTGGCTTATGCTGAACTCTAACCAGCACCGTGCTGTTCTCATTTCATCATCAGTTTTATCTCCATTCACTTTTTCAGCCTGATGTTTCTCACTCTCAGGTCAGGATGTTGTTGTGGATGATTTCCTTCCTGTTCACCAACTCCATGGCTCAGCGGTCGGAGCCCATGTTCTCAGCCATAACCAAGACCGCCCTTCCGCCTGACTACGACAACAACCCCACTCAGCTCAACTATGGCGTGGCAGTCACTGATGTGGATGGGGACGGAGACTTGGAGATATTTGTAGCTGGGTGAGAGAAGGGGAGAAAGGGCGCTGGAAAATGCTGTGAAAAACACTGCAGTAAAAATTGATTCTCAGATTAAGTCTTAAACTTAAAATATCCAACTATCCAGTCATCATCTAGCATTTATTTCCATTTGTGGGCGCTGGAGCCAATCCCAGGTATCTACAGGCAAGGGTGGTACAACCTGGGCGGAGAACATGCAAGCACCATACATAAAGATCAACCAGGAATAGAAACCAGCTACAAAACAATAATCTACATCTTGTTAGAGTCAGCTACAAAACAATAATCTACATCTTGGAGAGTCTACTATAGTAGTCTTTTCATTTGAAGCCACCAACTGCTACTTTTGCGCAGGCACAAAGGCATTCCTAGTCCTTTTGTTGATGTAATCCTTATAGATTTCTAACCATTTTTGACCAATGAATCTCATGAAGGATGTTCTCATACTAGACCTAAAGCCACAAATCGTCAGTAACCTTCAGTTGGAGCAAGTAGTCTAGCCTATAACCCCCCCTAAAATAACAGCCTGAATTTAAGTACAACCATTTAGTGTAACAGCCGTCAGCGTAGCTCCTAGTTCAACATTTGAGGCTACAGTCGAAGCACACAGTTGATTTCTCTAAGTAAAAAGTTAAAGACAAAGACAGACTAAAGACGTGTGATGGTGAGGATGCCCTGAGGCTCACTCAGCTGATGAGAATGGATGTGACTGTATAGTGCACCATTGATGGGAACAGTTTGGCAAGCCCGCCTCTATTCAGTGAAGCAGCAACGAGTTTCTCTGTGCTTAACAGAATACAAATGGACCAAAATGACCCTGCTTAAGCAGCTATCACATTCAGCAGGCATCCCGCACAGGAGGAGGGCACCGCAAAACTTCATCCAGGATGTAATCTAGTTTCATTATGGATTAGGAGAGTTTTAGGATGAAGTGTTCCAATTAATGCCGCCCTGCCACTGTTGACCTTCACTAACGTAGGTATGACGAGGTCACTTCACGGGGTTACATCAGTACAGGTCAGAGTTTTATAACAAAACTGTTTTTGTCACACAAAGGTTACAACAGAGGAAATTGCATGTTTTTATGCTAATAAGGTAAGAGTGATATCAGATCTCATTAAAAATGGGAGATTGCGGAGTTTAAAGGTCCTCAAAACCTATTTTCTGGCAGTAAATATTATGATCCACCATTAGCGGAGAGTTCAAACTTTTTTGTCTGGCTTATTCAAATGGAAATTTCATGTTTGTTTTTCTTTTCAACATCGAGATTTTTCACATTTACATCAACTGCTGCAGCCCCGGTCTTATCTGGTCTCTTTTAGCACTGGTTTTCTTCCAACCATACAATGTTAAAAAAAAAACAGACCCTGATTTGTTTATCTTTACTTCGTTGACTAAGCTTTTATGAGCATGCACAATGGCCAAAACTTGAAATAGAAACAAACTACTGGTCACAATAATTACAGTAATACTTTAATTTTTAATCTTCTTAAAACCTGGATAAAGGGTTGTTTTTTTTCATCTCTATAAAAGAGAAATGAAATAAAAAATGTGAAAAAACTGACCTTGTCCTAAGAAGATGTAAACTTAAAAAAATAAAAAATGTGAAAAAACTGACCTTGTTCTAAAACTCTCAGACTTCATGTCACTAAGGTTCTATTCATGTCTATGTAAACTTTAAAAAAATAATAATTAAAATAATTTTAAAAAAATCTGCAAAAAGTCTTTTTCTGCAGAACATTTAGAGAAAAAAAAAGAGAGATTATTCTAAAGTCCTCATCATGACTGACATTGTTGTTAGTGACCTGGAACGAATGACTGAGAACAGAGGATTCACAGGAAATAGTTTTATGATGTCATAAGACGAGTTTCTAAAATGTCCATAGACTTAAACAAACACACTTTTCTACAGCAGATTCTTTGACCTAAAGCCTCCTTGTGTCAGGCAGGAAAATTACACATACTAAATACTCACAGGTGACAAACGACTGACGACCTGCCTGTGGTCTGTGTTGTCTGTGTTGTCTGTGTTGACAGCTACAACGGCCCAAACCTGGTGCTCAAGTACGACAAACAGAAGAGGAGGCTCGTCAACATCGCCGTTGACAACCGCGGCTCGCCTTTCTACGCCCTGAGAGATCGTCAGGGCAACGCCATCGGAGTGACAGCGTGCGACATCGACGGGGACGGACGGGAGGAGATTTATGTCCTCAACACCAACAACGCCTTCTCCGGTACTGTACGGCGCAGACTGATGGCGCTCCAGAGAATACAAATGCATGTCGTGCACATTCACACGAGGTCATAACTCTTGTCAAAGCAGCAGAAACATTATGCAGACATTAAGTTTATCTCATCGGAGACTTCAGGAGATAACAGATAAGCTTTGTGCTGCTGCTATTAATCAGTCTGAAAACGACATGTTGTGCACTGCCAAAGAATGTAACACCTCCACTCTGTCATTTTTAAAAAAGCCTCCTGACTCCTATTTCTCCCTCTCAGCCGCAGTAAACTGCTCTTATGTTTCCAGTCAGACACCATTTCTGTGTTGCGTAATACCTCTCTGCTCGCTCTCTCTGCACAATATTTACCTCTTCTGAACTCTGCTGCTCATGTCTTCCCTGCATCAAGGCCGGGCGACGTATTCTGACAAGCTGTTTAAGTTCCGTAATGGGCGCTTTGAAGATCTACTGAGTGATGACATTAACGAACACAGGGATGTAGCAAACCGAATGGCTGGGCGCTCAGTGGCCTGTGTGGACAGGAAGGTACAGCACACAAGAACCAAGAACACACACACACACAGACAGACCCTGGAATCGGCAGATTCACACCCCACACACACACACACACAGACAGACCCTGGAATCGGCAGATTCACACTCCACACACACACAAACTCCCCAGAGTCTTCTGTGTGTGTACATGCATGGGCGCTTCTGTTTGTTTACCAGTGATAACTCACGCCCTGCCTGCACCGCCCTTCTCAGCATGTGCTATGACAGTTCATTTGGGCGAATGCGCTGCCATTTTCTCTCTTCTGTCCATCGCACCAGTGTAATTATAGAAGCCAGGGCTCGTTTGTTTTATAGTACGTCGTGAGAAGGGGAGGAGTGATGACTGCACAGCGCTGCCTTTCTGTCCGTTACATTTTCCCTCACCCTGATTCTCAGGCCCTCTTCTCTTTGTTCTCCCTCCACTCCGTCTCCCCCTGACCGACACACTAACGCTCTCTTTGTCTTTTACCTCCAACACAAATGCTCACTTCTCTCTCTTCCAATCAGCCGACGGGCTAAAGAAGGCAATAGGCAAGGAAGAGGGGAGTGGGTATTACAATAGATTTTTTTTTTCAGCTGGATTCCCATCTCAGTGAACACTGATAGGTTATACAGCTGCCAACACAGTTGGAAAGATATCTAGCCCAGACCCTGACGTGTGTGTTCTTCCATGCTAGTTCAACAGGCAGATAGAGAGATTAAAATTTCTCTTTGTCATGCATACAACAAGCAAAAGCCTAAGGTTGCCAAGCCAAAACCTCAGGCGTTTGTGGCGTTTGGCTCTGAAGCTGGGTTTCGTCATTAAAAACCTGATGATAATTCATCATGAAAATGGCCGTGCTCTCCTTGGAACTGATGTCCGCTCATCAGTCTGATGTAAACTGATGAAGGTGACATATAGGCTTTCACATTGAACATATTGATTGGTTCATCTTCAGCACTGGGAGGCAAAAAGAAAGCAAATTAAAAAGGTTAAAAAAGCAAATGTAATTGGAACAAATTAGATTTAAATCATAACGTGTTTCTGCAGAAGTGGACAAAAAAAAAACACTATTTGTTTGATTAGAGCAGGAGGAAAAGGCTCATTCAGACTGTGTTAGCTGTAAGCAGCGTCTAGTCACATGCACTCCCCTCCAACACACGCGCACACACACACGCAGGCGTGCGTGTCACACTTTTCACTCTGCCAATTTCAGTGACAGAAATTAGCCTTGGGTAAAGACTTATTGAAAAATCACTGACTTTTAAGTTTGTTAAGTAACGGCCAGTGGCCCTGAGTGTAGTCCAGTCTCATTTCGTCAACTTCTAAGTGTGTGTGTGTGTGTGTGAGTGTGTGAGTGTGTGTGTGTGAGACAACTCCTACCTCAGCAAACCATTAAATGACGCCTGATGGCATTTACATCACCCGGACTCATTGACTTCCCTTGTCTTGTAAAGATACGGTGAACGTGATGCTAAACTGGTGTGTGTGTGTGTGTGTGTGTGTGTCCGTCAACGTGTGTGTCTTTGTTGTCTGCATGTGTTTGTATTGACTGAAATATGATCGGCCTGGTGAGAAAGCTCATCGGAATCAAGTGTGTAGTCTATTAGTGTGGTTCCGTCTGTGAGTTCGTGTCTGCAGGGACTCTGACTGATAATGGAGTGTGAAATTAATCTCCAAAGGGAGGCAGAGAAGGAGTAGAGGGAGACAAAGAGGGGGTAAAAGGTGGGGAATAGGGCGAGGGCAGATAAGAGCGGGGGAACTTGATTGGAAAAATATTAAATGTGAATTATTTAAATAGAGAAAATAAATGTGAAAATTTTTTTTCGTCCTTTCCTCGTAATATAGTCATTCAAAAACAGTTAAAAATAATTTTGCAGTCTAACACTGCATGTCTGCTGAGACAAAGGGAAGAAAATGATATTTTTCATGAACCAAAATGCTTGGTTTTTTTAAATAATAAATAACTTTCTCACTATTCTTAGGTCTCCCAGTGTGATTATAGATGATACTCAAGTCAAACTGTACAAGCAAAATGCACTGCATATTTAAAAAAGCACATATGACATATAAAGCACTATAAAGCATGCACTTCTAATATTTATCACCAGAAGCTTTAGAAGAACTCTCTGTGATAAGAATTATTTTGAAAAATTAATACTTTTTTTTTTCTCCCAGGGCTCAGGGCGATATGCCATCTACATCGCTAACTACGCCAGTGGTGACGTGGGACCTCACGCCCTCATAGAGATGGATGAGGCAGCCAGCGACCTTTCACAGGGGGTCATCGCCCTCTCCAGTGTAGCAGAGCAGGCCGGGGTCAACAAGTTCACGGGTAGGTTTAAATAATTACCACACTCGGGGCATGAATGTGATCCAGGTACTGCACTGCCCCCACTGTTCATACTAGGGATTTGCCATCAATCAAACACACAGCCTGCATGTTTATGATGGACATACATCAGAAAAGACACAACACAATTCTGCTTTCTCACTGTATATACAAAAAATATCTTTGTTGTTTGAGTTTCACTTGACATTTTTTTGTTTCTGATGCCCCCTAGGGGAGCCTTCAGTCACTAGGTGACAGTAACTCGTGCAGTGGGTTGTACAGATAAAAAATAATCGAGAACCACGTGTAGTATTAATCGTTTTCAACTGAATGTTAGACACTAGAAAGAAATGCAGTTTAGTCTCCAGGAAGATACAGAATGTAAAGATGTCCTCTGATGCTGTGAGGCACAAGAGTGTGTGTGTGTGTGTGTGTAAGATGTAAGATCATCCAGCAGTGCTGGACCTTCAGCCTGATTTACACAGACATCTGCAGAGGAGCATGTGCTTGTTGTACCCATAGAGTTTGAAATATAGAAGTGAGGTACAGAGCGGATGCTGGACAGGAGCCAGGTAAAGAAAAAAAAAAAACCACGATGACATGATGACTGTAGGTCTGAGAGAAAATAGAAAAGAGCGTGAGCGGGCCCTTCTGGCCCCGTCAGCTGTTTACACCAGTCAAAGTCACAGGTAATCCAAGGAGAAGGGTGACACCCACATACATCAGACCCACAGCAGCTCAGACATGGTATCTATCTCAGTCCAGGGAGGTTCCTACCCCCAAAAAACTTCAAAACTCTTTCAGAAAAAAATACGAGGATGTCAATACAGCTGTGAGCAGTGTTTGAGAAATGAATCCAGTCTGAATCCACCTGGTCGGAGGAGTTCAACACTGGTTTCAGCCTGTGTGGAGGTCGACGCCAAATAATGATGTTTTAGTTTTTTCTTATGGAAATTTAAATTTGCAAAAAAAAAGTTATTATGTGCTGATTGTTATTGAAGTGTCCGCCTTTGTCTGACTGTGGGTTCAATGAATCCGACATCAAGGAAAGCCACAGGCTTCTGCCGCCTTTGGGTTTAAAACAGACTATAAAATTAAATGAATTATCAGGAGGGATTTCCATTCTGTGGCCGTTCCCTGTCGTCTGTCTGCTGCCAAAAAGCCTCATTCATCTCAGCTTCAAGGGCAAAGTTTGAGAACATGGTAAAAATGATTTCAAATTAAATTCAAATATTTAATAATTTCATTCAGACACATTCAAGTAAACACCACATATTGGTTTACTCTCGCTTCACACGAACCCATATTCTCACTAATGACAGTACACATCAGTACACACGTATTCCTATTATTTACTGAAATGTTTGATGTTGATCTGCTGTGTGTGTGTGTGTGTGTGTGTGTGTGTGTACCTAGTGTATCTATACTTGTGGGGACAGTGTTTCCTTTTGGGGACCTTTGTCTTTGTGGGGACATTTTGTAGGTCTCTGACTGAGTAGGAGTGTATTTGAGGATCAGAACTTAGTTTCAAGGTAGGATGAGAATAAAGGTGTGATTAGAGTTAAGGTAAGGATTAAGATCAGCCATATATGAGTAATAGTAGAGTTAAGGTCCAAAGAAATTTAGTTTATTTGTGTGGGAAAAGAGAAAAACAATGGTTTAAATGACTTATAATATTTTATATTATATTAGTGTTGTCATATATACAAATATTTCCCCAAAATAACTAAATTTGATTGTATAAGAGACAAAAAGAAACAGGAAAATGATATAAATTGTTGCGTATTGAACGTGTGACCTTGAACCTTCACATACGTATTTCTATAGTAAACTAATGAACCCTCGTCACACACGCACACACAAACTTTAGTTTTCAGTTTTTATCACCGACTCAAATTGATCACCTAAAAACCTGTTGACTTCGATGTTAAATTAAATTTAGAAAAGTCTAAATTTGCCCGCGACATAATTATCGTCACTTTGTTTGAACGCCAAGTGTCGTCCAAGCCACCGGGGGGAGCTGGCAAGGAACGGGTGTGAATAACACACAATTGATGGCTTTTTTTACTGACCTGTCATTAATCAGAGAAGAGGGACAGTGAGGGAAGTTGTATTTCCAGCGGTTACATATCTCTGGAGAGACATTAGTGCTTTATGACCACAGGGGGGCGAGTTGTACGTCTGGCCGACGGAGTGGGTCAGTAAATCAGGAGCCAGTCGTCACTCACTGCACCGACTCCGGTACAGGAAGGGTAATCAAAGCTCTTTCACTGCCACAATTAAGCTGTGCCGCTCTAAAATTAGGCACTTTAAATGAAACAGTCACTTTGGCTGAATGTCATTGGAAAATCCAGGGGTGAAATTGAAGAACCTGAAGAACACACCAGACACGCCGCCATCCATGAACATTTACACTCCCCCTCTGGTCGATGTACAAAACTCACAGCATGGGTCTCGCGTTTGTGTTTCTGTTCACACCTGGGTGTGTTTCCACATTCAGAGTGAATCAGTCACTGTGTGGATCCTCCCTGCTCTAAAGAAATT